CAAGAAAGCAATGCTGGAATCACGATAAGCTCTGAAAAGGCTATCTAACGCAGTTGCCAAAAAAGGGAAAAGCTACAAAGGAATATATTTTTCTTTCTCTCTAAGGAAAGGTTAAAAATAATACATCTGTTATCCTACTGCCCCTGTATAAAGGACTGTGTACCCACACCTTTTGGGTTTCTATCCAGTCCTGGTCATTCTATGGTGCAGCTCTAACATTGTTCCAAACCATGGTTAAGGAAGCTTAAGTATTTTTTGGCATGAGTTTGAATTGGTAAACCATGGTTTTGGGTCATCCAGCAAAACTAGATTTGCAAGTGGGTTTGTAAACCATGACTTGGGCTAATTGATGAGACCTAGTTATAGCCTCTCTGAAGCCAGCTGGACCATAACAACAGAAGTCTTGAACAGATGGCCAGTGAAAGAAGACATGGAGTGCTAAACCATGACTTGCCTTTACTTTTGGAATGTCAAGCCATTGTATGCGTCCTAAACAATGGGTACCACAAACTGGTATGGAGGTTTTATCAGAAGATATATAATCTTACCAAAGAAAAGCCTAAATGAATTAGGAATCTGTTTTAGAAATGAGATGGCTCAAAAGAGGAAGCAATTGAATTACAAAAAATACAGAACCATCTTTATGTATCTCACTTTTGTTAGTTTCATTTTAGAAAAAGCAGCTTGGGTAGGTGGGGATCAGAAGACTGAATCACTTGTTCTATGGCTTTTCCTATTTTCTTGGTAGCCTATTCATTGCCATAGGTTTATTATTTATACCCAAATTTTGAGTACAACGTGGTGCATATCTCCCAAAAGTAGTGCATCTAAATAACATTTATTATTTAAATAAAAGGGGAAGGGCTGTATTTCAGTGGCAGACAACATGCTTTGCGTACATAAGGCAAGGGTTCTGTTCCCATCACCTCCAGTTTTTTTAAAAAGGATCCAGTAACAGGAGAGAACAATTTCTGTCAGAAACTATGCAGAGCAGTTCCTGATCAGAAAGGACAATATTGGGGTTGATGGATCTGGCATAGGTCAGTTCCTATGATTTAAAAGAAATGACAGTTATATAAAATCCAAATAGACTGCCCTGGACTGTGTATTCACTATGCAGATTTAACCTACCCAAATCTTAAAGCTATATAAGTATCTAGCATTACCTTATTAACATCTACTGAGGTTTATAATGGGAATATTATTAGATGACTACATGGTTTAGTTGAATATATATTTTTTGGCTGGATTTTAGGTTCTCTTATCAATATCAAACTCTACTGGTGATGTGTTGGTATCGAGCAATCACAGTGTTCACTGTGGTTTTAAACTGCATTGTGTTCTCATCTCTTTATGTGGAAGATAATGTCCCTTTAGAATGTTTCCAAGCTAATATGAAGATATTCCTCACTGGGATGTATTAGCAGTCACAGTAGAGTAAGACTGTTTATGCTTTTTGTATGCTATATAGAAGCTACTGAAATAGCAAGGAATGTATTCTGGAATTTATTGAAAATAAGTACACCAGCCTTGATTAGCACAGAAAAGTGACAATTGGGTAATAACATTAGCTGGTCCTAATAAAGGTATCTGCTGAATGCATATAAAGAGCTGTAAACTCCTGGTTCTATTTAATGTTTCATGAATAGTATTCTTATTACTGTATTATAAAGTAACATGTGACCCTAATCAGATGAAGGATGGCCTATAAATTTTGGAATCAAATGAAAACAAAAATGTCACAAGCATGATCCCATGTTCCCCAGAGCCTTATTCAGTCTGGATATGAACCAATCTATTTAAAAAAATAGAAAGAAAAAACTAATTATGTAACTAAAATTAATATCCAGCTTTGTTAATGTATCTAAGTACTTCCTGATGGGAGCAAGCCCTTTATCTCAGTAACTCATTATGAAACTTGCATTGGTTTTTTTTACTTGGCAAGATGTAATCCAAGAATTCCCCAACCATTTTTGGGAGGCACATTTGGAAAACAAAAGTTGTTGTGGGCCCCACAAAATGTCCATTTCAATAAAAATAAAAATTAGTGATGTTCAGATGTACCTCTGAAATACACCATATGAAACCTGCTGCCGTAATAACAGATAAAAATCAGGCAACCCCCATTGTCCTACTAAACCAACAATCCTCAATTAAAAAGAGGTGCAGGCAGGGAGCCTTGGTGGGAGACCCTAGATCTAGCTTGTTATAGCTGCCGCAGTATAGCACCTGGGAATAAACTCTATTGAACTCAAACAGACTTCCTTCTGTGTAGACTTGTATAGGATTTCTTTGATAAGTCTTCATAGCGCCTGCTGCAGACTGTGTGAAACTTTCATCGTGCACACTCCCCACCCCCGACCACCTTTTTGTTGGTTTGTTTTGTGTGCCTGCTTAACATCCAGCCAGAAAAACAGTTCTGGTGAAGTACTATATTGTGATAGTTGTTTCTTTGGGGTTTTCTTCTAATAAACCAGTATGGCTACCTTAAATTTTTGGTTACTAACTTGGACAGATTTCATCTGAAAGACCATGCAACAATAAATAAATCTTCAAGTTGAAGGGTTCAGGTAGCAGGCAAAGAAGAAAAAGATCCATAATACTGCACAGTTGTTAGAAATCCCTTTAGGCTACAAGCTTTTCCAGGAGAGGTGAATTTTATAAAGTCAGTGTTAGCTTATTTTCAGCCATGGCTGTTGTGTCGTGCTTAAGCCCACCCTCCAAAAACAAACCCACAACACATCTCCTATAATGGGATCCTATTCATCAATGTTTTCATACTGCATCCTTTGAAAGGCAGTGCAGTGAGCTGCTATTGAAAGATACTTTTAAAAAAATCCTATATCACTCTCTAGGGAATTGTATATTTAGGGCAGGCTGCCAGACTGTAAGAAACACAAAAGAACAGGCATGGGTTAGTGACTAAACTTCAGTCAAATGCTCCCAACATATAAACTCATATAACTGGCACACTTTGAAGTATTGCTATTATTTTATAGACTTATATTCTTCCTGTCAAGGGAGGCTACCTATGCAGTAGCAAAATACAATAAAAATGCAAATGGAAAAAAGTTCCAAACATTGGCATTAAAATAACAGAAGCAGAAAAATGTGCTAAAAGACACATCCATAAAATAATTCAAATGCAGATGGAACTTAAGGATCTGCTAGAGAATCCAGTTGGCAGAAGAATGAAGTTGCTTCAGTAGCAGTTGTTGCTGTAAGTCTGTGTGGCCCCAGAAGATAATGGGGTAGAGTTGTCTCAGGACTAAAGGAAGATATGATTGCCTTTTTCTGCACATAGCAGACCCTTCACATGACAGTAGGCTGTCCATCAGCTGCTTGTTATTTTAACATTTATCACCAGGATCATGCCATTATGACAGTCTGGTGGCTTGAGATTATGGCACATGCAGAAGCTGTGGGCAAGGTTTGAGAAGAATGGGTTGGTCAGTTACCCTCTGCACCCCAAATAATCCTGAAGCGTTTGCATTAGGCTATTTGCATACTAGGAATAAAATACTGCTATTTATATTGAGATGTTCTCAAAAGGACTTCACAGTCACATAACATTTCTTTAGTGACCCTACCTTAAGATATGCTAGTATATTTACGTCCACATTGCAGATCAGGGTCTGAGATAGAGAAATAGTATTTTGCTCATGACCACAGAGCCTAGGACTTGCCGATCAGAAGGTCAGTGGTTTGAATCCCGGTGACTGGGTGAGCTCCCATTGCTCGATCCCAGCTCCTGCCTACCTAGCAGTTCAAAAGCACGTCAAAGTGCAAGTAGATAAATAGGTACCGCTCTGGCGGGAAGGTAAACAGCGTTTCCGTGCGCTGCTCTGGTTCGCCAGAAGCGGCTTAGTCATGCTGGCCACATGACCTGGAAGCTGTACACCGGCTCCCTCGGCCAATAAAGCGAGATGAGCGCCACAACCCCAGATTCGGCCACGACTGGACCTAATGGTCAGGGGTCCCTTTACCTTTACTAACAGAATCAGTGGCTTAGTGGAAATTTGAACCAAGGATGGTTTTTTTTCATAGCTAATGTTCCTGCTAGCAATCAGTGTGCCAACTGCTTGATGTTTTATGTTCATGTTTTCATCCATGGTTATTGAAGTACCTCACAGAAATGCAAGCAAATGCTGCTTTGAAGTCAGAAGTGTTTCATACAACTGCCACAAACTCTATGGCAGTCCTAAGCGTGAGGTGCATTGTTAAACTGTGTGTTGCTTCTAGGTACTGCACAGTTGCTCAGATCTCAACCAAGTAATCCGAATGCTTTCCATTTGCTTCTCTTTGCAGTGGCTGTGATTCTGAGTAATCTATGTTTATTACTCATCTTTCTGTCGTCCATTAGAATATGAATTTCATGAAGCTGTGGTTGAAGTGCGATAGACTGGCCGTTGTTCAGTGAACGGAGCAATTAAAAATGAAAGAAAATCCCCTTCAAGTACTTGCAAAGCCATTTTCCCCCCGAGAGCTATTTGGGTCTCCTTTTAATGAGATGCACTCTGACTCACTGCTGAGAATGTTGTAGATTGCATTGTGCTCTGGACCTGAATAGGTAACTTTTTGCATTCAGTTGGTATTAATAAGCAACTGCAACCAACTTCTCTTTATGCTTTAGAGAAAAAAACTGCACATCTGCATTTCCTTCCCCTACAACAGAACTTTCCAAACTGTGTGTCATGACATGTTAGTGTGTAGGATTGTCATGTGAATGCTCCCAAGCTCCTCCTGGGTCTGGAAAGGGGTTAGTTTAACCTTGGGTTTGCTAGTAAAACTGAATTACTGTGTCGCAGTATGTTTCAAAAGTGTCACCAATATGAAAAGTTTAGAAAGCTCTGTCCTACAGAATCCCCATATGAAAGTTGATTGGAACTTCAGGTATGATATTTGCATGTTTGTAAGCAAAAGGTACTGTACAGTATCCATTTATTGGAACTTTGAATTTCCATCATAATAATTAAACAACACTTCTGATTGTTTTCCAGCCTAGTTGATTCATGGGAAAGTGATATGGGAGTACATTCTCTAACATTTCCATCAAAAACCTGCTTGGAATTGCTGCTGATACTGGCTCAGAGTAATGCTTCGCTGCCACCTTCCCTTCGCTGGATGAATTCTTTCCAGGTAAAGAAATGATGGCCTTTCCCATAATGTACCTGATGTTAAGAAGAGTATAGAATCCAGACCATTGTCCAAAACCATAGGTTAACAAACCTGAATATCAAACTACAGTTTGATCCTTGTTTGGTAATCTGGTTTGTTAAATAATTATAGTTTGTGCAACCCCTAGTTTGGCTTATATGGATGAAGTAGAAAACTGGTTTGTTACAAGGGCATCTATGCAAAAAACAAACAAACCCAAAACTACATCCATATACTGATTGTGAGTTTATGGAATCATTTATCTGATTTGAGATGAATGTGTTTACTGTTCCAAGCATAGATAAAGTCTCCGTAGTCTATTGGGGATTAAGAAGCTATGTGGTTATAATCAGTTTTGGTGCCTATATTGATATGTCTGCAAAACGGGGCCTCTTCTGGCCTTATCTGGCTATAGTGTTTTCTCCTGTGACTGAGTGTGAGCCATGTCCCTGCTGCTATCTCTTGCTATATTGCTTGTTTCCAGTTAATACACAGAAAGCGGCATCATGATGAGTCAGACCATTGATCCCTCTATCCCAGTATTGTTTACAGTGACCAGCAATGGCTCCTCAGGGTTCTGAGAGGACATTTCCTCCCCTACCTGGATATGCCAAGGATTGATCCTGGATTCTTACATGTGCAAAGCAGATGCTCTACTGCTGAGTTGTAGCCCTTAACTGCAGTCTTCAGCTAGTTTGTTGTTTTTACTTTGTTCACAGCCCTGGGCTTTTTTTTGTGGGGGGGGAGCTGCCATATTTTGGTGATGCTGTTGAAAGTGGCTGGGATCCAAATGGTGCAACCTCTGTAAAGTTAATTCCTGAAACAGTAGACCCCCCCCCTCGTCATGCTGTTTTTTGAGGCATCCTTAAATTTCAAAAACAGCAAAACAGCTGGATCTTTTCTTTCTTTCTTAAAAACATTTCCAAGTCACCCTCTACCGTTATGTATACTAGGGAAGCAATCAGTCTCCTGAATAAACTTGTACATTAAGTCCAAACCAGTACAATTGTACCTTGGAAGTTGAATGGAATCCATTCCGGAAGTCCGTTCGACTTCCAAAGCGTTTGACTTCCAAATCACAGAAGCTCCTGCAGCCAATCAGAAGCTGCAGAAGCCCCGTTGAACGTTCAGCTTCCAAAAGAATGTTCGAAAACCGGAACAGTCACTTCCGGGTTTGTGACGTTCGAGAGGCAAAACGTTTGAGAACTAGGCTGTGTGAAAACCAAGGTACGACTGTATTTGCAATTCAGCCCCTACCATCCCTTCACTTAGTAGCACCTTCATTTGTCTACACTTTGTTTCCTTTTTTCCTCAAGCTTACTTTTCCTTCTCCTTCCATTTTTCCTGGTTTTCAGACCTGATTCCTGCTATGCTACCTACTTTGTATCTTTCCTTCAGCGTATCTCGACTCAATGCTCTTTAGTGTCGCTTTTCAAGTTCAGTACCATAGAAATTTCTAATGAGGGAAGAAATCCAAAATCCACTATTTACGAAATCCAGTCTTAAGTTCCAGCCCCAGTAAAGCTTGTGACTACTGCTTGACAAGGAGCAGAAAAAAATCTCTCAATCTCTCTCTCTCTCTCTCTCTCTCTCACCCACCCACCCACACACACACCATAGGTTATATAATCTCTAACCTTCAGTGTGGAGTATTTATTTAAGTTTTTATGCTTCATCCTTCCTCCAGATAAGAGCACAGGGTGACTTACAAAACAACATATAATATAAACAGAAATATAAATAGAAAAGATTTATGTACTGTTAAACCAACAAAAAAAACCTCAAAACAGTTTACACCAAACAATATAACAAACTCATTGAAAATACTCATAAAATCAAAGTATTAAAAGCAAGTCAACACAAAATTGTATCAAAATAAAAATACAAACCAGCCAGCGATTTAAAAACACATATGCATCTTAAAATTGCATGTTAAAATAAAATAGAATAAAACCATGCATTCATTATGAAAATAGTGTAATAATAAGCCAAAACCCCAATGAGGGTCAACATCATCAGTATGCCTTTGTTGATCACTCTCCTTCCAACGTGGTGTTAAACATCACAAGTCGTGATCCTCAGTGAGCTATGCCATGATTAGCCTCTTTTACTTCAGTGGATCATGCACGTGCAAAGTGCTTACCAACTTCAGTGTTTATCTTCATTCTACACATATGACTGGGTATTCTATTATACCAGTAGAGAAATACCCTTTGTGTTGATGTGGAGGTTGCATGTGTGGAGGCTGGGTTTGTAAGATCTGAGAAGACTTTTCCCAAATGCCCTCACCTTCAGGGACAAGGACGATGGCATCTGGCAAAGAGGGCCATCTCAGAGATAGTGATTTTCTTTGGAACATTCTTCCCCAAGAAGTTAGGGTGGCACCAGCACTGGTGTCTCAGGTGCTAGGCTGAAATGTATTTATTCAACAAGTTTTTAGCAGATAATTCATTGTGTCTATGCTGGTTATTACTCTTTACTCTCTCTTGTTTTAATCTACCTCAGTTTTCTGTTTCAGGAATGAATTATTTTTACAACCTTCTTATAAACGTTTTATTGTTCCATTTTACTATCTTACGTTGTGAGTCACTTTGAAAACTGGGAAAGTAGAAAAGCAGCGTATAAATTCATGAAACTCTATATAGTGGTACCTCTAGATACGCACTCCTCTAGCTGCGTACCTTTCATGATGCGAACGTGGCAAACCCAGAAGTATTTTTCCGTGTTTCACCGTGCGCACATGTGCAGAAGCGCTCTACGCGCCACGCACATGTGCAGAAGCGGTGCTCTGGTTGTGAATTCCTTGGGATGCGGCCGGACTTCTGGAATGGATCCCGTTCGCAACCGGAGGTACCACTGCATTTATGTGTCTTTAAAAGTAAAATCCAGTACCCCACACTTAGGATTAAACCCTCTGGCAATAACATGGCTTGCTGTAATCTAATATATAAAGTGAAAGTTGACCTTTGGACTACATTGGCTTCATATTTGTCGCTTGACTGAGCTTATGCACATGTAAGTTCTGAGCCTTGCTAGCTTTAAAGAGTGACAAAAATAGTTTTTAGAACATGATCTCCTCCTCTTCTCTCTCTCTCCCCACCCCCAGTTTCAGGCACCCATAAAACAAAACTATGGTCTACTTAATTCCAGCAATCCTTGTTTTACTTTGCAACCTTCAGAATGGATGTCTGGTGGATATTAATTAAAATACTTGCCTTTCCACAACAGCAGTGCTGAGAGAAATGTGGTAAATGGCATAATGTATCATCATAAAGATTCAGTATCTTAAGTAGGTGTGTGGCTTGGGTTTTGTTTCTGTTACTTCCTGTGTTCCTAGAGATAAGAAGAGCCAAGATAATGTTAGCAAATCACCAGCAGAGATTGCTTGTACCTTGGAAGTGCGTCTCTCTGTAATCACTTTTGTACCAGAAGCTCAGTTTTGTGCCAGAAGCTCAATTCTCTTGAACCATTAGCTTACACTGAACAGCTTATTAAATGTATATGGGGCTGGTTAATAGAACTTGTAGGTTTCTGTTCATTTTGAACAGAATAGTGATTTATAACTTTTAAAAAATTAATAGTGGTGATGGATAGTGGTGGTATTTCACCTGTAACTGGGAGGAAGAACTATCCAGTTGTAAAGTAAAAGGTAAAGGTACCCCTGCCCATACAGGCCAGTCTTGACAGACTCTAGGGTTGTGCGCCCATCTCACTTAAGAGGCCGGGGGCCAGGGCTGTCCGGAGACACTTCCGGGTCACGTGGCCAGCGTGACAAAGCTGCATCTGGCGAGCCAGTGCAGCACACGGAAACGCCGTTTACCTTCCCGCCAGTAAGCGGTCCCTATTTATCTACTTGCACCCGAGGGTGCTTTCGAACTGCTAGGTTGGCAGGCGCTGGGACCGAGCAACGGGAGCGCACCCCGCCGCGGGGATTCGAACCCCCGACCTTTCGATCGGCAAGCCCTAGGCACTGAGGCTTTTACCCACAGCACCACCCGCGTCCCTCTTGTAAAGTACCAGAATTTTTTTAAAAAAAATTTAACCCCACTATGTGCAGAGAGTTTTGGGTGGCTAGTTTTAACAGGACTTTGCTCACTACCCCGTTTTTCCAAATGTACTTAATATATTCAGTAAGGAAGACAGCCAGTGGCATCAAGTTAGGTTTGGACGTGGGTCCTGTGTCGCAAGTCACATCAGTTGAAAGTGATCCCATGAGTGTGGAAGCCAGCATTTCAGAAGGAAAAGAAGGGCCATCAGCATTGTCATTTCTGACAGAACTGATCACCAGTTTGGTGGGGGAGAAGAAGAACCCAGTCATCTTCTCCTATAACCACCCAAAAGGTGAACAATATTCACAGAAATAACTTGCCCTGATTGTTGGTGAAGTGGAGATTTGGGAAGATTTACTGTATACACAAAATACTTCAGATTGGGGCCAGTGCCTCAAGCATATGCAGATAGCACTTCTGTCATTACTAGGATTTACATTAAGGGTGCTTTGAGGTGAGTGAATAGGAATGCCAAGGCTAGCTTGAACTGGAGAGAAGTTCCACAAAAAAGTGCTGTGACATGAGAAATTGTTTTATGAATTTTGCAGCTCTCAGAGTAAAATGTTTTAAAGTAGTATTATGTTAGTAATTATCCATCCCTTGCTTTAAGCAGGGCTGGCTAACATATGGCCCACTAGAAATTGCTGAACCACAACTTTAATCCACCGTGGCTGTTGGCCATGCTGGGATTGATGGAAGTCCTAGATCAGCAACATCTGGGGAGACACAGGCTAACCAGCCCTGATCAAATTAAACAAAGTAGGCACTGTAATAAAATGTATCTGATGTACAGGGATGCAATCCTATTGAACTCTGGCTTTGTTTTCATAGCTGGGCAAATACTGTTGAAGATGCTTGCTATTTCAAAAGAGAGGGCATGACCTAATTGGAAAGTTACATTCAGCATATGAAAATCCTTTACTTTATCACCAGACTTGCTTAGCATCCCATTCAAATGATGATAATCTGGTGCTAGGAAAACCGAGTGGCGCTGACATTCATTCAGAGAGGAAATGTACAAAATTACCGGGGCTCGCAGCCCATTACAAGATGTGGTTGTGAAACAGAAAAGCAATTTGGATGTGATGAAGTGTACTAGAGTGGAGAAGAGAAGTTATTAAGCTTGTCTTGTATTTGCCAATTGAAGTGTGAGAGGTGCTTTTGAGTGTGTTGCGGCCTTCCCTTCAAGAGGCCTTCAGCCAAATCCATAGTAGTTGTCTGCACTCTGAAATCAAAGCCCTTCATTTCATCATATTGATAGTGGTGATTGTGTCACGTTCCAATCAAGCTATCCTTTTTTAAACTAATTATCCCCTGATAATGGGCTGATTAGGCCCAGAGACATAATGACATGAAGCATCCATGGGATTAAGTGTGCTCACTATAGAGAAGAGAGAGGTCTCACCACCTTGCTAGAAGTACGTTGGCAGGTTCTGTGGGGCCATATTGAGTGCAGTAGCTGAGCAGGCCCCGCCTTAGGCTTTCAAATGGAATAAAGGGGGAGAATTGCAGCTCCAAAGTTGCCATGGACTCTTGGTTCTGAGTAACCACTTGCCCAATCAGAATTCATTTGGAGGAGGCACTGCTGTTGCTGCATCTTGTTTTGTTAATCTATGAAACTATTCTGTCCTATCTTTTGGTCCTCAAAAGGGCATCCCCATTCAGTAAGCTTGGAAGAGCATCAATTTTGCAGCAGAATTATTAGGTTACTAGGTGCAGCTATTTTTCTTCAAATTCTAAACTTTTCAGTGTGGAGCTCAAACTGTATATTTCATACCATTTTGGAAAACCACTGTCATTTAGTGTGGACTGTACTGACCTTGATAGATAGACCTGTGGTCTGACTCGGGATACGGCAGCTTACTATCTGCCTCACCACCTCCACATGTGCAAGTGAAAAAGCAGTATGGACAGTGGTTTAGGGTGTGAAGATGATCAGAGGGGAAAGGATTAATCAGCTTTTCTTGTTGTGCGTTTTTTTAAAATGCAGAAGAATAAGGAAAAACACAGAACTCTGTAACATGTAGTTTGAGTCCTAAGAATAGCTAGTATTGAAATACACGCTTTTGTTTCTTCTCATCTTTCTCTAGTTGGTTTTCCAGAGCGACACATTGCCATTTGCAGTTCTTCTATTTGAAGGATTGTGGAGTTATGTTATCAAGGAGGTTTCTCATAATGTGACACATGGTAATACGCCAGACAGATAAAGGAATGCTGTAACTTCTGTTTTAAGTTCATGTTTTTTAAAAAGGAAATGCTCACTTCGGTTGTTGGCATTTCTTCTTCCTATATGGGAAAGAGAAGCCTGGAGAAATAATATGGTCCCCTTTTCTGTTTAAATTTGTGAAATAATGTACTTTGAAAGTTTTGGTAAAGAGTCCTGCTGAACAGGCTAAAAAAACCCCCCGAAACGCTGCTGTTTCAAGTCATTTTTTATAGCCATGGTTAGTAAATGCACTTTCAGCTGTATTTCCCCCCAGCAAAGTGGTAGCTACTGACACCTTCAATTAATTGCAGGTGTCTGCTTCTTTTTGGGTGCCCTGGGGATATATCTCATTAGGAGATGTATCTCTTATTCTAAAGAATTATAGTTAGCATCCTCTTTAGAATTATCAGTTTAAGAAATATGTTTTATCTTAGTGCTAGATCCTTTTGTATGCATAAAAAATCATCTGTGAAGTTCATGTTTTGCAACTCTAAAAAAAAAAAAGTTCAGAGTCAGGCTTGATTCTCACTGCATGCCTGGCTCTTTAGACCAGCGATTCTCAACTGGACCCCCAGGATATTCCAAGGGGGGCAAAGGTGAAAACTGTGTAAATGGGGGGCCACAGCACGCGACTAGGGGCCCACAGAGGGAAGCAAGAAGTGAAGAAAACAGAGAAGTGACCGAGAAAAGAAAACAGAATATCTAAAAAGTTTCCACAGCTTTGGGATAAAGCGAAATTGTTTTTCATGGCATTTCCTACTTCATATTCGGTAGAATCAGGTTTCAGTTATGTGAATTATTTACTCAGCCTAACGCGGAATTGCCTTAACTGAATGGACAGAGGTGGTCTTCACTTATCCCTCACAGCAATAGAACCGGATATAAAAAAGCTTGTTTCTGGTCATCAAGCACAAGTGTCACATTGATCGTGAAATACAAAGTATATTTTTTTAGGTAATTGTATTTTGTATTAATTATAAGTAAAACATATTCTGTTTACAGACAAAACATTTAAATAGCTACCTTTCTACTGATAGGACGGTGGGGGCACGGTCAATAAAAGGCTGAGAAACAACACTGCTTTAGACAAATGTCTCCAACATTTAATGCCATTAAATTTAAGACAGCTTTTTCTGGCTTTGCACATTTTGGGAATAGACGTGTTGTGGTTTTAACCAAAAATGCTTGATGCTTTAATTATAGAGTCACCCTTCCATTTCTCTATACTGTACTGTATTAGAACGCCCCTTGTCTTCAACTGTCTACTCTGTTATCTTGGGCCTCAGGACTGTGCTGGTCTTGTCATTCGATTTCCTTTTAAACTGGAAATTACAGAGTTTGGACTTGGGGCCCTTATGAATGCCAGACATGTGAGCTGTAGCTCCTACCTGGAACACCACAGCAGACTGTGATTGTTCCCATTTCTCACTTTGAGGTACTCCAGGGGGCAGTAGGTGGTCGCATGAAGTTTATTGTTAACAGCCTTTGAGTAAAGACATTAAACTTCCAGACTTCTCAAGACTGGCTAGTGAAGAGTAGCCTCTGATGGCTTTCTTAAAAAGAAATAAAAATGAATTAGGAACTATAGTAGCTGGTTAGAGCAGGTTCTTTTTCATCTTTCCTTTTGATTATACTTCAAACAGTGTTAGTGATTTAAAGCCTTCAGATGCTATGAAAAGGAATGAGATGCTTATAGTTCAGTTCTTGATTACACTGTGAAGTTATTATGATGGTGCAATATTTTATGCTTGGCTAAGTATAGATTTTGAATAAAAGAATTTAATTACACTGAATAAATACTAGAGAAAGTTCTCCAGTTACATTTCATTAATGGTTCATGCTTCTAGCAATGAACTAATTTAATTTCATTCCTGCTGCTAAAGGTCTGTGTGTGTGTGTGTGTGTGTGTGTGTTTGTGTATCCCCTCCCAATGTTTTTATTGAAAATGTAAATCTCTTAGAACATAAATGCAAACGAAATGATACATATCTAACTACTTGTACATACTTTATGCTTTGCGCTTCTTGGTGCTGTTGGATGTAATAGTGTATAGCAAACTTCTGATTGCATTTCTATCA